ACGTATTCTGTGAGGCCGTGGTATCACTCCGGTCGAGCCGGCCCATTCGTGCCGAAGCATGGCTCTCCCTGCCCACACTTAGCTAAGATACAAGCCATTTTTGAATTGAAAATAAAAAATTATCGTTTAATATTCTAGGTTTCTTGTCAGCAATCAATCCTTTTCCTACTGCTGTACATATGCATCTCCAAAATAACACGTCACAAAGCTCAACCTTTATTTCTTTGGCCTCCTTGCCGACATTCACTCCACCTAATCTAGAGTTTAAACTTGGCCATAACACCAAATCAATGTCGTCATCATCATCATCATCAATAGTCGGAAGACGTTCATTGATGGGCAAAGGCAAAGGCAAAGGCAGCTATTTTTATTTAGTATGGGACAAGCCTACCCCACCCTCCCAATACCGCTGTAACTTCTGTAAGCAAGGATCTACAGCTGATATAACCATAAAAACACCGGATCACTGAAGTCCGGCGCGTCCCAGGGACATGAATAACAGTCTTGGATCCTGCAACGAAAAATCAGAAAATATTAATAGAGGAGAAGAAAAAAAGGATAGTTCACTCTATACACTTCCATAACCAATCCAAACGCGAGTGATATTTTTATTTCCACTGTATTCAAGGGATTGCCAAGCGGCATGTTATTGCACCCCACTGGGGGGGCTCACAAATGTACAAATATAAAAATATTTCCACTACCCCTACTGTTTTGGAAGTTAATTCGTTTTTCCGAATCTGTCTTATTCTTATTTGTTGTTGGGTCTCTGCCAAGTATATGTGAACGGGGTGTCGTTGTGTTGTGTTTAAATAAATCTTCTTTAGTTGTTCGTTCACGCCCTTTCTTATTTCGAAATGAAGTGAGTTCTGTGTTGGTTGTGAGTTATTTTCTACTATATTGACGTTTGCTCTCAAATTTTGGCGATAGTCTTCTCTTAATATTTCTTTGTTACAAAGTCAGATGTGTAAGGTCAAAATTCTGTCGCGGAGAACCTAACGGGTTACCGGGGCTCCGGCTCGACGTGCAGGAGAAGGAACGGGGTGGTTTTTAGTCAGTAAGAGTCGGACACTCCCTCATAGGAGCAGTCATACGATGATTTTTTCCTCTTAAAAAAAGGTCAAAATGCTCTTACGCTGAGTCAACTCAATATAAGATCAATTAATTAAAAAATCGTGAGACGAGCCGGACATCGCTCGATCGGACACCGCACTACTACTGCACTGCAATTCCTAAGCCAGTCGTTAATTTTAAATTCTTGGGATTCGCCTCATTGACACTGATCTTTATTTAAAACTATTCACAACCGATAACAACAATATTAATGTCTGAATCATTAAACATTTACAGAACCATAACTCTAAAAATATGTTTACTATAACAAACTTTGATTCTACAAACCTACTGCCACAAATGTAAGAAAACCATAAAAGTATTTACACCATAATACTGTACCATATAAACTGTCTCAATCAACCTAATAAGCCGGATCCCAGCATTGAGAGCGACCACATAAATCACTATAGCACATAGAATACAACTGCGGATGAAAAATAACTCTTACATACAAATATTAGATTTATGATATTTGTACAGAACTGACGAATGGCTTCTTTGTGTTGTGAATAGACGATACCAGTATATAGAAGTTGGATGCTTATGTATTGTATTTTTATAGGTGGTATTAAAAACAATAAATACTTTTAAAGATTTCCTAAAAAAGACTTCACAAAAGGGGGTACTTAGTTTGGTAACTAAAAACCGCGGGTTACTTACGTGAATATAGTCAAAGTCAAAGTCAAAGCGTTTATTGCAACTAAGTGTACAGATGATGGTTATAAGTGAGATATGATAAGATAAGTGTACAGATATATTGAGAAAAGCTCTACTAGTTTCAAACCACAGAGGGGTTCTTCCTCATGAGCAGAGTGCGCGGTCGCGGCGATGTTGCGCAGCCTACTGAGCGTTCTTAGTTTCACCTGTTTGTATGTTTGTGCGCAATTAGCTCAACAGATTTTGATGCGGTTTTTAGAAAACTGTTAGTTACATTTAGGTAAAAGTTTAAGTACATATTTTTTTATTTATCATATTTACAATAAATACAGGATTATTCATTTAAAATAGAAACCAAAATCCACTAAGGCTTAAAGTTGTGCTATCATGAATCAATCTAAAAATATTTTTTTTTAATAAAATGAGGTTTTATAAATATATACATTGAATATTTGTACTATTACTTATAACGTGATTAATATATAAAAAAAAATAAGTAAGAATACTTATAACGTGAACAATCGATACTGAAGCCACAAATATGGTTTTTAGAATTTTTATCTGTTTGTCTGTATGTATGTTCGGGATGATCTCAAAAAGTAGTGCATGGATTTACTTCAAATTTTGCATGAATATTACTGACAAGTCGGGTCAACATATAGGCTACATATTATCACGCTATCATCTACAGGGAAGGAACCCTATACCAAGTGCTGAATCAATTCTGACGACATTCGTTACCGCCCTTGATAAATACTAATTCAAAAGCCTAAATTCTGCCAGAAGTCATTATTCTACGCGGACGTAGTCGCCGGCAACAGCTAGTTCATAATAAACACATACATTTTTCTAATGAACAATCGCTACCAATTAATTATCATTAGTTCATACCTCCGCTAAAGCTCTCCAATTAAAAATTAATAAGAATTTTATTAAAAAGAACAAAGCAAGGAGATTTTACTCAGATATTTATAATTATAATAACGTCATAATTTCTTCCGTGGGTCATAATTATGTTTCTTTAGAAAAAGTATATTGTGAAATAAACGAAGTCATTTCTACTTCAGATGAGAATTTCTAAGGACACAATAGTAATTTAGTTGTAATTCTTAATTACTTTGTTTGTCGTTTACGTAGTCTTAAGTATTATTATTAGACAATTTTATTTTTATTTATTATTTATTTGTCATATAACTAATAAATAAATTAAAAATAAAATTGTCTAACAGTATAATGAATATATTAATGAGTAAAAACTTTTGACTGGACTGCCTCGTTGGCCGACTGGTTGTAAGTGCGACTGCCGGGCAAGGGGAGACCCCTTCTGGGTTCGATTTCCTGGTTTTTTAAATATTTTCAGTAGTAGCACAGAGTCTGGAATTGTGCCCAGTATATGGTCATAGGCTCATCCCCTATTACATGGGACTCATAACATAATAGTGAAAAGTGGGTGTTACATTGTACAGTGGTATAACGTGCACCTCTGCCTACCCCTTCGGGGATAAAAGGCGTGATGTTATGTTTATGTTAAAAACTTTTATTTTTTACGTTGCCCCACACTAATATTTTCTCCTGTGTCGTGGGTGCGTTTACAAACATACAAGTTCACATACACATGGCACCCAGACCTGGAACAACAATCTGTGGATCACACAAAAAGTTGCTCCGTTCGGGACTTTAGTATATCTCACGATAGTTATTATAAAACTCATTAAATTATCTCTGAGTGCAGTAAGTTATACTTACTATTTTTTTTAAGGGGGAAAATCATCGAATGCCTGCTCCCGCCTGGGTGAGGCGGGAGGGAGTGTCAGACTCTTACTGACTAAAAACCACCCCGTTCCTTCTCCTGCACGTCGAGCCGGAGCTCCGGTTACCCAATAGGTTCTCCGCGACCCATTAGGTTCTCCGCGACAAGTATAAGGTATAAGGTCGTAAACCGATTTAAGAAAAAACCTAATGCGGTTCAAAAGTTTTTAAAAGAAATGAAAAATTACAACCCATTATCATAATTCAGGTATAGAAGAAAAATATTCTTGAAATAAAAAAACAAGCTTCCGAACATGTCAAGGTGAAAATTATACCAGTAAAAAGAAGTTGGTTATAAGAAATTCCTGTTCGCCGTCACTCATATTCCTATCAAAGAGAATTTGTTCTTAGCTTTACAAATCAAAATATCAAAGGGGTGTCACTCAACCGTATTATAATATACACTGCCACGTTCTCCGTATATCATTTTGTCATTTTTTAAGTACAACCCTTAAAGATGATTGGTGTGACAGGTACAGGTGTCAAAAACGGTGTTAGTGTTACAATTTGGACTTTACTTGTAAGGTTTGACGTCATGCTTGCTTTTATCCATATTATCCATACATACAATAAAATCGTAGGAAAGTGAAACCTGTGCTTTTTTTTGGGGGGGAAATCATCGAATGACTGCTCCCGTCTGGGTGAGGCGGGAGGGATTGTTCTGACACTCCCTCCCGCCCTCAGAGTCAGTAAGAGTCTGCTCTTACTGACTAAAAACCACCCCGTTCCTTCTCCTGCACGTCGAGCCGATCTACAGTCGATACCGAAACCAAAAATAAGGATTTTAGAATTTTTATCCTTTTATCTGTATGTATGTCCGGGATGAACTCAAAAATAACTGCATGGATTTACTTCAAAATCTGCATGAACATTACTAACAGGTCGGGTCAACATATAGGCTACATATTATCATGCTATCAACTATAGGGAGGGAGCTGTGAATCACTATTCTACGCGGACGAAGTCGCGGGCTCAGCTTGTTGAATAAGTAAACCTAGATATGTATCTAAATCGGCCATTTTATATTAAAATAATTCTATACCTATCATAATGTGTACATATTCTGAATGAATGATGAATGATGAATCAAAATCACACATAAATTTGAAGCAAAACAATGAGGAACTGAACTATGATAATGTCCAATTTGCAAGGTCGTCATTTTGGTTTGTATTTTTAGCCACGTGATAAGGTTTAAACTACATTTGGGATTATTATTCTTCTGACTATAGCTTATTTAATTACACATATATACATATAGCCATCTTGTTGTCATCATAGTGTGATATTATGTTATCAAGAGGTATCAGAACATATGTATTTGGATATGTTTTTGTTATTTCCTACACTTTTGTGCGCGACTACACCAATTTCAGTTCCAATAAAAACACCTTTCTATACTTCCTTGGTATCATTTACCGTTCCAAAATGGATGAAGCTTTTCTCGCGTTCCACCGAGTACTATCCTTTGCCGGAATTTCAATTTTTGCTAAACAAAACTGGAATTCACACCGATGGCTGGCACATCAGACTTTCAACTTTATTATTGGAGTACTATGTTTCATTTTCACAACTGGTTTCGTCGTTACAAACGTATCAGATTTTCTCCTATGTATCCAAGGGGCTTGTATTTGGACAACTGGCGTGATAATGACCATTACTTTGGGAGTTTGTTTGATATTTAGGAAGGAGTTTCGCAGTTTTTTGGAAGAAATGGTCTTTCGAGATCATATGTTGGAGATGCCTTTGATAGACCATATCTTGCTGGTGTCTCCTAGAGGCGAAAAGATTCAAGAACTAAGGAACTTGGTAACTGGTTCTCAAGAGAAGCTGTTCAAGTATACCACGTTACTATTAAAGTCGTACGTTGCTAACGTCTTCTTGTGTGCTACTCTGTACCTTTGCAGTCCTGTGTATGGGATGCTGGTGAGAGAAGATAAGTCTTTGCGACTTTTAGGTAAGTCTCGAGCTTTTACTTTACTGCGTAATAATATGGTTACAGTTAACTTTCTTGAACCAATTGTTTTGAGCAGTTTTCACTTTGTGGTATTGAAGTGTGCTTAATAAGAGAAAAATCTATTGCAAAAAATCCATGTTTAGAGAAACTCACGATTCCAGTCACTGTTACAAAAGATTATACCTATCTCACTTCAACAGCTTTTAATGCCCACTGTTGAGCAAAGCCTTTTCTCACACGGAGAAGGTTTGAACATTAATCACCACGCTTGCTCAATGCGGGTTGGCGATTTCAAACTTATAATTAGAAATTATAACCCCAGTTTTCCTCACGATGTTTTCCTTTACCGTTTATCAGTGGTATCTGAATAATCTTAGAAAGTACATATAACTCGGAAAAAGTCACATTGGCACTTGCCGTTGGTAGGTTTAGAACCTGCACTCTCATGCATGAGAAGTGGGTGTCTTAAACCTACAGGCCACCACGACACACACTTATCATAATACCTATCTATTCTTGTGTTATTCGATAAAAGAAACAACTGTGATTCAAAGAAATTCTTAGAACTTTGGAGAAAAGGATCTCTATAGAACATGATATTTTTACAATGGATGTAATCAATAGCAATCTTCATGATTACGATATTTCCAGCGTTCGATATGTGGTTTCCATGGAGTTTGGAAGATTACACCGTATATATTATATCCTTCATATTCCATGCCTACGCTGGATACCTGTGCTGTATTGGTATGTATATAAGGTTCTATTTCTAGAAAAAACCAAGACCAATTTTAAGACTAGTTTAAAATAAAAATGCTAGATATCAAAGTGACAGCATTTAATTTATAGTATTAACACAAGTCATAGCACTTTTGAAGCGTCCAAAATAAAATGGTCTATCTGTCAGTTGACACTGTTTATTCCTAAGTAGTTTTCAGATCCCAAAATAACTCAGGTGAAATAAACTAAGTGTAATCTTATACTATTATATAAAGCGGAAGAGTTTGTTTTTTTTTTGTTTGTTTGTTTGAACGCGCTAATCTCCGTAACTACAAGTCTGATTTGAATAATTCTTTTTGTTTTCGATAGCGCATTTATCGAGGATAGCTATAGGCTATAAAAAATCACGCTACGACAAATAGGAGCTGAGCAGAGCGTGTGAAACCGCGCGGAAGTAGCTAGTGTATAATACGACAATATTATTATGTACACTACATTGTTCATAATTTATGTTAGTCCTATTTTGATACAGCTAAATCAATGACCAATAAAGCCAAGTATCTTGATATTAAGAGGGTAAATTAGATCAAAAAGCCCAAACTAGGACTCATATTTCTTAACATATGTCGCTATAAGTCGCGCCTAAATATAGTCCTGTCCCTACAAACTCTATGTAAAATGACAGAGATGGCACCATATTCAATTACAATTTATAATTTAGTAGCCTGTCAGTATTTGTACGTAAGTCACATACATTGATAAACACAAATTCATTCCCAAACATGTCTAACCATCTACATACAGTTTATAGAAACGTAGAAGAGATATTGCGGGCATCTGAAAGGTCAGACAAAATCTGGACATTTGTCAACGTCAGACTAAAGTCTTTGTCGGAATCGTTGCTACGAAATTGGTTCCAGGTTCGACAAGAAATTTCTATTTCTAATATTAACTCGTTTCCTTGAATGGTTTCAGTGGTACAAAGTATCTTTGAATGTTTAATGTTAAGGAGTTGTATGAAGACTTGTGTAGAACATCTGATTTAGATTATTTTATTGGTTATTATGTGTTATATTGAAGTAAGCCGCTCATTATTTTGACTTAAGATACTTTTTATGAAAGTATGAATCCTGATATCGTGCTTAGTTTTTGTATAATTGCCATCAATTTGACTGCACGGTTGGCGCGGTGGCTGGGCAACAGGCTGCCGCCCAACATGTCGCGGGTTCGATTCACAGATTGTTGTTTCGGGTCTGGGTGTCATGTGTATGTGAACTTGTATGGTTGTAAACGCACTCACAACACAGTAGAAAATCCTAGTGTGGGAGAACGTTTTTTTTTAAATTATAAAATAAAAAATTGAGGAAAATAATTTAAAAAATAGGTATTCATGGAAAATGATTTTGTGTTTATTTATATTATATTGGATGGAGTTTCTTGCTCGTTCTTCTCCATTCGAAACTACATTATGGAACGAGCACCTAGCTTCAGTAACAACTTCATTTGACGTTTCAAAAGTGGAGTTTCACCTAATCAAGGATCAATTGTAATTAATGCGTTGACTATGACTTTAATAACTTGAATAGTTACAACGCGACATGAAGGACCAAAATTCAACTACTAAATAGTGGAGACTCAATTATTATCAAACAAAAAAAAAGAAATTACCAAAATTAAGAAACACTTTCAATGAATATAACGAAAGGACACAATTCTTAAGTCAACTACTAGAAGCTTCTTAATTATAATAATACATTATATACTTCTATATCTATATCTATACTAATATTATAAAGAGGAAAGATTTGTACCTATTTTTGTATGTTTGTAATGAATAGGCTCAAAAAGTACGGGGCCGATTTAAAAAAATATTTCACCAATAGAATACAACGTTCTTCTGATTTGAGATAGGCTAAATTTCATTTTGAAAAAAATTAGGGATCCCTGGTAAAATTCGAACAATGTAACCGAAGATTTAGAAAAATGAGTCTTAAAATGTCTTTCGTCGAATGCGCTGCCGAAACTATTAGCGATAGAACAAAATAATGTACAACAATATTGAAGACCATCATAATGTCTACAAAAAACTCCGCGTTAGCATATGTGCAACTATTGTAGTTATGTCACTACAACAATCCAAATTTCCAAAAATAAATAATTGTGTACCCCGTGCGAAGCCGGGACGGGCTGCTAGTTTGTTATAAGTTGAGTTCAAACTTAAATTGTAACAAAATCTCTATTACTATATTAAAAGTTTTTAATACTTAGAAACATTGTGATACCAAACAAATCATTTTCGTCTTCAGCATATCCAGGTCTTCAGTCCACTATAATTCTTCTACTTGGCCAGCTGATTCGTCAAACGAGGATCCTAACATTTATACTGCTGCATATGAATGAGCTAGCACTGGAAGTGACTGGTGTTCAAGATGAGAGATGGCAAGATATCTGCACCTTAATTCTGTCTCAATGTGTTGATCATTATGTGAAAATAAAAAGGTAATTTATGTCTTAGAAACCATTAAACCCTACTGAATCTTCTCTTAAACATTTGTAAGTACAAAAATACATAGCTGTATCATAAAACTCAATTTTATTTACACTTTCTTTTAAGAAATTAGTTATGCAAAGTTATATAGTAACTGAACTTGAAAACTAAACCCAGGATTTTGATCTCAGTGTAATAACAATTATATGACGGCTGTAGTTTCAACTTAATTACCATAACAATAAAGCACTCATTTTAAAATTAAATTTCATATTTCTAACAGAAGTGATACACCATTTGCAAAATACCACGATAACGTCTCCAATAACTAATAACTAACATTTGAATATTGAATGAAAATAACCGTTTTTATAACGTTTTATAGGTTCAGCAACCGCCTCAACCTTATCTGTCGTCCATTTTATCTAACGTTGATATTAGTTGCTATAATGCTAGTATGTATGTGCTCCGTGAAAATAGCAGTATCGGTGAGTATAATGTACGCAGACGTGCAACTTTTATTGATATTAAGGGACGATTTAGTTGCTTTTCTAAACCACTTTTTCGTTGTCGAATGGTAAATTTTCATTGTTATTGTTAAAATTTATTTAGTTGCGACTGACAATTATCTACCATTTTGGTACTTATGAATAGTTTTAACCTGCATACTTTGAAGAGGTATATAGAAATGTCAATTTTTCCTAGCACAAACTTTGGTTTGTCCCATAAATTGTTCCATAAATATAGTATGTAATTGAAACCATTGGAAATGACAATAACTGTAGTCCCAGACTTTTCTTGTATGGTAGAAATTAAAAGTAAAAGTTGCTAAGTCGCGCAATATCAACATAGTAGCTAAACCGTCTCGGGGTCTCGGGTTCGATTCCCGGGTCGGGCAAAATATTACTGGGGGTTTTCAAAAAAATCTCAGTAGTAGCACGGAGTCTGGAATTGTGCCCAGTATATGGCGATAGGCTCACCCCCTATTACATGGGACTCATAACATAAATAGTGAAAAGTGGGTGTTACATTGTACAGTGGCATTAAGTGCTGTAATGTACACCTCTGCCTACCCCTTCGGGGATAAAAGGCGTGATGTTATGTATGTTATGTAGCTAAACCGTTGAACTCCGCTACTAAAAGTTGCCTGTCTACACACTCGATAATTGTAAACTTTACTAATGGGTGTAATTAAATTTTATCTTCGGGTCCCTTTTGTATAATAGTAGTATGATATTAGTATTAAATTGATGTGAAATATTTCCTATTAGATTCTATTTGGTTTGAGAATAACATTAATTTTAGTACATAACTTTTATTTATTTAAGTTTTATACTATTGCAAAAGGAGGATAATGCTAACAGCATTCTCTGCCAGTCATCTTTTGGGTAGTGCAGAAATGTATGTGGTCGGTGGTAAGCTGCAAAAATGTTATGAGAGATAGTGATAATTATCCAAATTAATAAAAGGTTATCAAAAGCATACATAAAATACGTAAATAGAATCACATATAATATATAATATAAATATCATTATACATATAAATATATTTGTGACCCGTATATGAATTTATCCTATCTTATAACAAGAAGACTTTTCACTGCCGTATTTCTCCGATTTTTTTGTAGTTATCTGAGTGAAAATGTATGTATATGCGTTTTTGACGTAACTAATAGAAATTCTAGAAAGATTCAGGATCTCCTATGTTCGTAGTATAGGTATATGAAATCATTATATTGTAGAGTTTAAAACTTGATTAATTAATTTTGATTTCATTTTCAGAACAAATTGTCATTAGATACTTTTAAGTACTATATCCATGAGTTCTGTTTCATTCTGGTGGTACTCATGTTCTGTTTGATTGGACAACAAGTCGAGAATGAGGTAAGGAGAGAATTGAGAACAAAGATATCTGTATAGAGACGTTGTGCCCTGAAGAAGTCATTAGAGCAATTTCTTGGGAAACATATTTAAAAGCTATTTCTTAACTTGTGTATCCATGATTGATGCAGAAATCCTTACTAATATTATAAATCGGAAAGCGAGTTTGTTTGTTTGTTCGGCTTTGACGCCGTAACTACTAAACCGATTGCTTTGAATTTTTGCAGACATAAAGTTAGAAGTCTGGATTAAATAATAGGGCACTTTTTATCCCGGAAAAATTTGATATTCCCGAGGGAAAACAAAAGTATTGGTATAGATGGCGCTGTGTGTGTTGGTATATGTCACATAGGCTACTTTTATCCTTTTGTGACGCGAGCGAAGCCGCGGGTGAAAGCTAGTAAGGGCTATAATGGAGTAAGTGGAGAGCGGTTACCGGTGACCGCTTGGGGGCTCGACAGTGGAGATTTTTAGAACTTAATAATACTTCCCACGCCTTGATTGCTCCTTAGGTTAGGTAATGATACTTGGTCGACCAATGAGGTAGTCGCAATCAATAACGACTTACATTAATTTTATAACTTTCACCACTAGTTGTGAATTAACTCATGGAACCAAATTTTGTTTGAACTTTCACAGTGCGAGGCCCTAGAAAGAGCCGTGACAGAGAAATGGTACATTTTCAACCACATCCATAAGTCGAATGTACGGATCTTCAAATGGGCACTTGGTCAACGCATGCCTATCTACATATTCGGAACTATAACTTTGTCTTTACCGACATTTACATGGGTGAGTATTAAACACGTAAAAATCCTAGAAGCCGCGGCCGGGTGTCTCTATTAACTTTGTCTTTCTGCAAGAGTTCGATCCTACCACCAAAAAAAAAAAACAAAATGAAAAAAAAACCTGGAAAATATACCATAAATGATTTTATTATTTTCCGTAATATTTTTGTAATGCAGATTTTTAATGAGATAAGGGGGCTGATTGATCTTTTGATGGTAAGCAGTTTAGTTTCAGTTTAACAAAGCATAGGATTTTTAACATTAGGGGCGAGTTATTATAATTCTAAGCATTTTATTATTACCAAAAATAAAAACATCCTTTTTTATGAAATAAGCCGGTAAACGAGCAGACGGATCACCTGATAGCAAGCAATTGGCGCTGCCCATGGATGCTCGAAACACCAGACGCGTTACAAATTTGTCGCCGGTCTTTTGGGATTAGGAATTATAATTATTGTTTGCGTTTACGGAGATTGGGGAGGCCTCCGGTAACCTCACTAACACTACAAAATACAACGCAAGCGTTGTTTCACGTCAGAAAATTGGGGGTCTGGTAACATGGGTCGGTGGTATTCTTTGAAGTCCTGGTATTACTCCGAGTGAGCCCTTCGTGCCGAAGCATGGCTCTTCCACGTTAAACTTGAGGTCCAATTACCCTCTCCTTCCCCAATCTCCCCAATTCCTGAATCCCTAACGATCCTCAAACTCCTAATTCCCCAAAAGTCTGGTAACGCACTTGTAACGCCTCTGGTGTTCCAGGTGTCCATGGGCGACGCCGATTGCTTACCATCAGGTGATCCGTCTGCTCGTTTACCGGCTTATGCCTAAAAAAAAACTTTAATATAATTGATCTTTTTGCAGTTTATAAAAACTGGAATGTCATTCTTTACACTCGTGATGTCCGTTTTAGAAGAAGAAACTTAATAGAGAATGACACAGAAGAATAAAAGAAAAGAATAGCTGAAGAAGAGTTGATAAATTTGTTCTTTAGTAGCCATCTAGGAATTGTTTTCTTTTACGATTATAGCACTAAAATAGAATTTAAAAGCACATAAAACCACATTAAGTTGTTTAATTTTGTAATGCTAATAAATTAAAATAATTTGATACTTAATTTGAGAAAATATTAAAACAAAAATGTAAATGAGTTTTTAAACAACTGATGTTTAAATTATTCCGAATGCTTAATAAATTTATTTTAATTTTATTGGAATCATATATTCTTGCGTTTATTGACTACTATTATTATATAAAACGGAAGTTTGTTTTTTTTGTTTGTTTGTTTGAACGCGCTAATCTCCGTAACTACAAGTCTGATTTGAATAATTCTTTTTGTGTTAGATAGTGCATTTATCGAGAATGGCTATAGGCTATAAAACATCACGCTACGTCTAACAGGAGTTGAGCAGAGCGTGTGAAACCGCGTGGAAGTAGCTAGTTAACTATATTTAGTTTTGGTTGTTTTAAAGATTAAAAAAAGTAAAATAATACTAGCCGTGCACAAAATAACCCACATGAATGCATCCTTTACCTTTGGTAATCAATCACATTGATTAACTGTCTTATAGCCATAACAATAAGGTTTATTTTCCCACCACTCTTTGACCTATCTATTCATGCGAGGTTGATGCCGTTGCGCGTAATACTTTGAGTAAAATTTTAAAATGATGATGTATATACAGAGTGATGGTAATTTTTATGAATTATTAATAGGTTTGTTGGTAACTTGGGTATCGTGGAATGAGTAAAAAGTGCTATAACGCACCTATAATCGAAAAAATTAATGCCTTTATGAGATGAAAAATTTTTTGAGCGCGATTTTGTAAATTTTTCGCGTATTTTCTTGATGTTATGGTTGAGATTTCGACTTCTTGGCGTCTTAGGTCTGTTTTCTGGTACTCATACACTAAAAATATAATTTATCACAGGTATATGATATGAACCTACATCTGCTTTTGGTCCTTTGGTACTTACATAAATATATATTTAAATGAAACTGAGTTAGGTTATGTATAAAAAAACAAAAAGAAATTAGGTACAAGGTACAATTTTACATAAAATAACCAAAAACAATAATCTAACTAACTATGTACAAAATTAAATAAACAATATTCCAATAATAGAACTACTTTATTACATAATCTACAATGAAACTGTTATCAATTCTACAATTACGTACGAAAGCGATTAGCGAATACCTAATCAACAATTCATACAGTTGTAATTTTCTAGTATTGATTATTTTTGCGATGACTTACATCGCCTCCGTGGCGCAATTGGCTAGCGCGTTCGGCTGTTAACCGAAAGGTTGGTGGTTCGAGCCCACCCGGGGGCGCAATTCTTTTTATATGTTCTTTTAAAGATTTTAATTGTGATGAAACTAATATGCAAATCATAAAATTTATAGCAAATGCTGTTCCATGTCCGAAAAAAATCTATGATTAGTATTTTCTCATGTATTTTTTATTACATCTATGTAAAAAAAAAACAATAAAAAAAATCCGTTCGTAAGACTGAAGCGAAAAGACATTCCGAGCTTACCTATAAGATTCTCAACTTGTAAGAGCTCCCAGATGGAACTAAGCATCCAGTAGGAGCGCTCTACGTCCATAATAAGTCGCAGACCAAAACAGAGGCATGTCTTATTGTCTCTGGACAGATTGCTATGAGGCAGAAAATAAAATCCATTCGTTAGTCTCGCTAAAACTCGAGAACGGCTAAACCGATTAGGTTAATTTGGGTGTTGAAATTTTCGTGGATGTCCAGGGAAGGTTTAAAAGGTGAGAAAAAAAAAATTAGGCGGTACGAAGTTATATAAAATAATATCACGACTTTTGACCCTCAAAAAGATAATTTAAGATAGTAGCTTAGTGGCTTAGTATCATAGCTTACCCAATTTTCGATAGACTGATTATCAAACAACAATAATAAATTAGAAGTGTAAAACAAACATACATATCTACATACAGGTTACTGAGAAGTTTCTTCTATTTTTGAAATTGGCTACAAATATTAATTATTATTCCTTGTGCCACACATTTGACACACGTATGGTTCGCCATCGCCGATGTAGGGTAAAGTCGACAATATCTAGGAATCAAACGAATATTGTATCGTGAAAGTACCTCAACCTACTCAAGTTCAAACGGTTCCCGATAATTTGAGAAATCAGTTATTTCGTTTTTATGCGAAGTCCTTACCCTAAGAGGTTTATTAATAGCAGCAGACGAGATCTTTCCTAAGAGTTCGTTGAGTGAAATTCCAAGTATTTTCAACTATTACGTACCTACTTGTGAACAACGTTGTTATCTTACAGTTTTTCAATGTTCGAGTTAATTTTGAACTTTATCTTTTTGATTATTGAGTTTGTTATCGTTTGATGTTGTGAAAGAGGGAAATGGAAATGATTTCAGTATCGTTTTGGGTTTGATTGTCAGATAGACAGTTTAGTTAGACGAACTTTTGGGATAGTTTTCTGATTTCAAAATGCTTAGTAATAAGTCGAAACTTGTCTTTGTTACCTATTAGCCTAATTGTCGCGACCTATGACTGTCAAACACAAAATCTTGGTTTTGAAATCCAGATCTTTCTAAGAATTAATATTGAGATATTTAACTGTCGCAGTCATGAATTCTAAAGAATTGCGACCCTTTTAACAGTCATTCTCTTTCGCCCTTCGCTCTTCGGCGCTTTTGCCATATCTATTATTGGAAGCAAGTATAACAGCTCACACATAGGACCCACTTAGTTTTTAGTCAAATTTCCGTGGTGCTTGGCGACTGGGCTTCACCCAGTTGTACAGTTTCTTTTTGTGCCTTTAGGCTTAATTCATTGTTTCCTGCAGTAGTTCACCGAGGGAAGCAGAAACTATCGTTTTGTTTTTCTTCTCCTCTTATAATATTTTCTGATTCACTTCGTTGCGGGAACCAAGATTCATGTCCCTAGAACGACCGCCGGACTTCAGTGTTCCGGGGTATTCATGGTTGTATCTACTGTAGATCCTGGCTATACACGCCTATGTCGACTTCTTCAGGGAATAAGATCTTAAGTTCCAATACAGAGCAACTCCTTACCAATAGTAAATATGCATCTTTAGTAGGTACTGCATATTGAGGTAGATTAAGCTACCGTGCTATCGTAGGTGGTGTAAATACTGATCCCCTGAGACGTATTAGATGCAACTGGCCTGTGACGTCACTTTACAGATAGATACAGTGTGTAGTAATCACAGTAACAATGCAACTCAAAAAT